CGCTTTTCGGGAATCAGCTAAAACATTTCACATTGAAATGGACATAAGTAAAAATTACGAAGGTGGGACTGTTTGTAAAAAAACTATCTTTCATAGGTATAATGAACAATTTTCTAATATTAATTTTAAAAGTATAGTTTTTGGCACAAACACACGAAGAATCTGGTAGAAAATGTAAAATACATTCTTAAACAGTACGTTAGTAATGTAACTAATCAGATATGTATTGCTGCATATTATGGAAGAATAAACTTGAAGCCAAGCAACATTTCGTTTTAAATTTAAGACAGGCAAACACTAAAAAAAACTGTTAAGAAATATCATACACGTATTGGTAAGTGGTAAAGAATGCATGATAATTTGCTTAATTTTAGTATTTTTATGGACATTTCATAAAATTAAATAGCCTGATTAAATATAACAACTTAGTGAAGTCTAATCCTCTAATCTAATTGTTAATGCATCTTAAAGTATACTACCTGTTGCATATTTTTGTTTTCTTCTTTTAATAAGAAATCACCACCAAATACATAATTGTTGTAGTGATGGCACTGGTACAACCGCTTTCCATCATGATCCTTTTATTTTGCAGGTAAGTTTCGCTTATCATTCTAGCAACGAAGCTTTTGTTTTATTTCTATTCATACTAGACATATATACTCGCATGATACACTATTTCTTTATTTCAAGAGATTTTATTCTAAACAATTCATGCAGCAAAGCGTAAAATTATGATTCAATTGTTGACGTTACTTTAACAGTCTGTTAACATTTCCACAGAGATAAATCAAATCGGAACAGACGGGCAATATATTCATCTGAGCAGTCCAGTGATTCCAGTGGCGTGTCCTATGTTTCTCGAACTGGCGCCATTAGCCCACAAGGTTCTGATGCTAGTTCTGTGACCTGCGAGACTCAAGTCTAGCGGCTTTTAAATTGAACTTACTACAAACATGACACTTGATTTTGGTCAAGTCTAGTGGCTGTCAATGTCCACTTCCTACGAACATGACACTTGCATTGGTCAAGTCTGGGTGCTTTCAATGTCCACCAACTACGAACATTACACTTGTATTGGCCAAGTCTAGAGGCTTTCAATGTCCACTTCCTACGAACATGACACATGTTTCTGTTAATTTATAAATTTGATTTTCTGCTTTAAGAAAGACTATAGTCTACTAAAATATCAGGAAATTGCCGTCTAAATTGTATTAAATATGTGGAAAAGATTTAGATTTAGTTCTATGTAGTAAAATTATGTAAACAAGTGTTGCGTACATTGTTGAGGGCATAAAGAAACTTGTCAATGGTATAGGAATACAATAATTCCAATTCGATGTTTCGTCTTACAAGACAATAACTAAATGATGCTTCTTTGTTTTAATAGAGGCCATGATCACCTCATAATGTTGTTTGAACAAATTTAAATTTAAATGTGCTTGTAGGATCAAGGACGTAGGAAGGGAGGATGGGGAGTGGTCCAGGCTTTTGGGGCGGGGGGGGGGGCGATTTTATCTTTTGATTGAGGGTTCATTTTCGGCCAAAAGAAGTAATTTTTTAAATTTTGTTTTTTAAGTTCTGGGGGAATGATGGCCAGTCTTAGCGGCACTAACCCAGGTAACGTGACTAAGGTGGATATTTGCGAGCAGTCTTACGATACAAAAGATGTATGATATGCCCACTTGGAAAGCTGATGTCTGGGTATCATTTGAGTGGATCTACAGGCACACCAACATGTCATTTATACGTTTTAAAAACCTATATATATATATATTGATGTATCTATTACATCGGTGTTTTAGAACAGATTTCCCCTTACATGAGTAAAGAATTTGTTCGATTGATAATTCTTATTTTAAACTGCAGTATCTCCTGTGGTTGACTTTTGATGATCTATTGAATTAAAAATGTCTCTTAATAACTCTAGTGAAGCTGGTCAAACAAAGGGCAAAATGCATCAATTAGAATAGCATTCAAAACAAGTACATTAAGTCTCTAAAAGAGTTTAAAATGAAAGCAAAACAAATGTCACATTTTCAAACATTATTTTATGGGTATCATCCACTAGCTTAATGATATATTTAAAATTCAAGTTTTTCCAAACATTACTCAAGCAAAAATCGTTATTCATAATCCATTCATTTGAAAAATTTGATTTATTTATAACGACAAATGTAACCAGCAACAAAGAATCATATTTTTATAATAGAGGTTTCTTGAATTCATTGTTGCGTGTCAATCGATAAATTATCATGGCTTTAACTCTTCAACTAAACAAGATATCATGGAAAGATACCTTTCAATGACTTACCAGAAACATAGTAAAAACGAAATCAAACAATTTGCGTTAGGACCAACCGATGTCAAGTCAAGTTATATAAAAGCAGATGTTAAGTCAAGAAATAATAGAGCAGATCTCAAGTGTCGAGTTCTATAAAAACAGATGTCAAGTCAATTTAGCGAGAATTTTTACATGAAAAGAGAATCTACAGCCCTAATAAAAATCAACTTCCTATTGTTTTTTTTTTCTTATACAAACAATAAGATTAGTACGATCTCTCATGATTACTCTTTAGTTTCAATGATTGCCTAAGGAAAAAGGAGTTCCTGACCCTAAGAGAACATTTATATGTAACCATTTAAATTCTTCATAATCATAAAGCTAAGTGTGAATTCTGACAATCAAATAACAGAGTAAAAATGAAAAAATGACAATGTGAAATCATGAGAAAATGTAGCAGGTACTATTGGAATTAATGTTAAGTAACTGCTACAATATTTTATTTTTGTGGTTATAAAAAAATGTAAACAATATTTGATTTTGTTAATGTGTGTATAGAACAAAAAAAAAATAAAAGAATTATAAATAATAAATTTGAATTATAATTAGATTAAATCTTAGTCAGATTCATTTGAATAATAAATCCATTATTTAAGTGTGTACAAATTAAATAAATGACGTCAAAATGTGTGTATGTGTATGCGTATTCCAACAAACGTTACTTTTTTAAATTTAATTTAAAAAAAAATTTGAAGGATAGGCTTGAATACACACATATTTTATTACCAATTATGTCTTTGGACTAACATTATGGTACAATCTGAGACACCCAGGCCTTACAACGAGTGGTCCAATGGTGTCACTGAGCATAATGGCTAAAAATATGTGTTATATTAAACTGGAATAGAGACAAAGAAAGAAAAGAATTTATATAAATTAGTATAAATAATTTTTTTCATAAATCATCAATCCCCATTTTGAATACAAAAAACACTAGACTATAGAAAGTCATTTTTTAAACAACATCCATTCCTGTATTGCTCATCATTTTGTTCAAATGTCTCTCCTTTATGATTTTTTTTTTTTTTTTGCTTCATTTAAATAATTGATGCTTTAACATTTTAATACATCAGATTGAAATTGAAATGAAACATGAAAAACTAAAACAAAAATAGATAAAAATAATATAATACAAAAAAAAAAAAAATGAAGCTAGCCAACATTTAATGATGCGGGAAAATGTTGACATCACCCAAGGCCACATACATTTAAGTAATGTTTTAAATGGTGAGGGTTTCTAGAAACATGACACTACATAGGCAGGGACCAGTAATACGTTGTGGACAACTTACTCACCGTTGTACGTTTAAATATAAACTACATTGATACAAATCAACAATTGCTTTTTTTCCGATAAAAAGCAATGAAAAATTTAATATTTCTTTTTATCTTCTTTAAAAAAAAGGATTAAATTCTATCATTACTATTGAATGTTTGAATTTTTACTTATTTTCTTTGCTGAATTTTTTTTAACAATAAATGAATTCATTAAATGAGAAGTTTTGTTAAGAAAATTAAATAACCAATCGGAAGCAGGCTCAAAGGTTAAGGATCATCAAGGTACAACCACTTACAAAAATTACGGTTAATAGTATAGAAATAGAAAATAAAAGCTTTTGTAAAAGAAGCGCAATTTAAAGTTAAATTCTGAAGCTCATTTTAGTACATGTCAACATTTAAAATGATAATCTTTTTACACGACACATTAAACTGCCTCGGTAAATATGATAATTAATTAAACCTATGTAGCAATAACATTTGATCGGTATAACAATATCTATAATAGAATACCTAAATAAAAATGGGTTCCTTATAAAAGACGTAGGGAGTGACGTCATTGCAGGTTTCTTCGCAGAAGGACGGGGTGTGGGGGGGGGGGGAGGAGGAGGTGGTAAAACAAAAACTTGGCCGGCTTGTTGAGCTGTAGGAGCCACAGAAAACTGTCAATCAGACAATTCAGAGCGAGGGTGGGTGGCCATGAGGCATATGCCCCATCCTGCCCTACTTAAATTGCGTACCTGGACAAAAGTTTTTTTTAAAAAATAAATACCTTGCTTTACTGAACAATGCTCGAAACATACGTAGACAAGAAAACTGAGAAACTTTTACATAACGATGGACCTATAATTTACATAAAGAAAACACAAATATATTCACTAATGTATACGATTCCCATGTTTTAGATACATGCTTGATATTCATTTGTTTATTAGAATTAGAACACTGCATAAAACAATATTCTGCTAATAATCGCTTCCAAAAAAAATCACGCCCAGCTATAACTTATGAAATAGACGTACAAACCAAAGTTTGAACCTGATCAAGTCTTCATCCTAGTGTTACTTTCAATGTCAATGGCATAACTCATAAAACTGTGTACGTAGTGGATCAGCCTCGGGGTCGCTTGGCATTATGTTAGGTGTCTCTTGAGAGCTTCACGTGTAAGAGGCTTTTATTCTAAAATGTGTATTTTTACCAGTTCTTTTAACATTGAAATAGTTTTTTTTATTCTATTGGGATTGTTCTTTGACTCAACCTCATGACGTCAGTTTAACAAAACAGACAACGTCATAACCACTTTTTAACATCTCAACATCGTGTTCTCAATTTCCTGGAAATAATTCTGCTTTTCGGTCCACAAAAAAAAAAAAAGCCTAGAGTATTTTCTGTGGGTGTTACGGGCCTTTAAAAACTTCGGTGATGAACAATGAGCAATTAGTTTTGGTCATTTGAAAGAAATAGCAAACACTTTATCCTTTAAGTATAAAAAATGGTAAGAAATTAATTAAGTGAACTATTTTAATAATTATTATTTAAAAAATATCTTTCTTTCCGATATATTTGTAATATTATAATATTAACACCAAACTTATAATATTATAACTAACAAGAATATTTCATAATCAAGAAACAGATATCAGATCTTCTATAGAGTTACATAAGCTTTGATCCTCACATCGAGAATAACTTTATTTTTAATTGTATTTGCTTGCTGGACAAACATTTGCTTTTTTTTCATTTTAATTTGTTCCGTATCTTCTTCCGTTGTCCTTTCTGTGTCTTCGTGACCTACGAATCCAGTGTTATCATAAATCACGTCATCTGTAACGAAATCGTAACTCATGTCATTGAAGTCATCGGTATTATGGTATAAGTCATCGTTAGCCCCAACTTTACCGTCCCATTGGTTCAGTTTGCAACGTCATTTTTTTTCAGATAGATTGGGTCTTGGGAGTCATGCTCTTTGAAAAGGGGCCCATCAATTGTGAAAGTAATAACTATTTTTTTAAAAACATTAGTTAAAAAATAAACTAAATAAAAAGTTATATATTTGTTAAAACGTATTAATTATTTTTCAAGAATTGTGTTTGGTGTGATCACAGAAAGTTTATGTGCTACTAATGCTTATTATTAAAGAAATAGCTTTCAGAATAGAAATTTAAAATTATATGGCATTGTATTCAACTTTTAAAAATATTAATAAACCGTAGGAGTCCATACATGCACATTTAAAGGAAATTTCTCGATTTAAGTTTATTTGGTATTTCATTTTCTGCATGCAAACTTTTCAAGAGAGAAACCTGCAAGTGGAATTCAAATTCATATTTTGTTCTTTTAAGGGTTACTAAAGTCAATCTAAGTTAGACAAAACAAGACCAAGATTTATTACAAAACTAGCCTAGGCCACATGTATTCGTGTGAAAATTAATTTTAAAAAAAACAATAAGTATAATGCTCTGTTTATGAAAGAAAGGATCTTGTAATGTTGAGTTAAATAGCGATGAAAAATAAAATTTCCTTTAACATCCAAAAGATTCCAAAATTTAAATATGATGAAATTACTCTGATGATTTTGCTGATTTAAAAGAATTTGTCACATTTATCTTTTAACTTTGTGCAGGGGCCCGAAAAATGTCGGCAGTGGCAAGATTGTGTTGGGTTGTATGGGCACTAGTTTTGATTCTTATAAATTAAAATGTACGAACTCATGTCAATTAACTTAAGTAAATTGGAATGTCACGCATAGCCTACGCCATTTAATGGCGGGCCCTAGCTACTGAATAGGTACAAGTTTGTCCCGTCTCCCATCGCCTTTAAAATAATGTTATACCCATAAATTAGCGTGGAGAAGAATTTTTACCCATTTAATAACACGAAGTTGTTGGAGTATTTAAAACAAAATTAACATTTGTTTTACCAATTTCTGACTGAAATTGAGTGTTTGGGCTTCCTCCATTGTTTACTTGTGCAGGTGGGGCCAAGGTCATTGGATTGTACACATTGCCTGGGATTACCATTCTCTTCTCATTCTTGCATGATGACTTCATTTCACAGCTGTGCGATATACGCGTGCCGTTGATGCTGTATTCGGGACAATGTAATGATAGAATTACCGGGCTATGTCAAGCTATGACAGGAAACATTCTTATGTCTGCTTGCAACCTTTTGATAGAAGGAAACACTTTTACACAAATAATAGTGGTAGCATTAAATGCTATTTGTTACTGAAGTCAGTTAAAACAATACAAGAACATTTTATAGTCCGGGTGTAAAAGAACGTTATATTGTCTGGATGTACAAGAACAGTATAGAGTCTTGGTTAAACAGAACATTATATAGTCTGTTTGCAAAGGAACATTTTATTGTCCGGGTTTACAAGAAAATGTTATTGTCCGGGAGTACAATAACATTTTATATTTCGGGTGTACAAGAACATTATATAGTCTTGGTTAACCAGAATATTATATAGTCTTTTTAACCAGAACATTATATAGTCTTGGTTAACCAGAACATTATATAGTCTGTTTGCAAAGGAACATTTTATTGTCCGGGTTTACAAGAAAATGTTATTGTCTGGGTGTACAATAACATTTTATATTTCGGGTGTACAAGAACATTATATAGTCAGGGTGTGCAAAAAAATATATAGTCAGAATGTACAAGAACATTATATAGTCATTGTGTACAAGAATATTATATAGTCAGGATATACAATAACTCAGCAGGGTGCAGCTTTTGGTAATCCTTTATGCCCCTTGCGCATTGTCTCAAAAATGTCCCTTTTTAGTTTTGACGATGGCTTTATTTAATTTAAAACGTCTTTGCACCGTTAAATAGCTCTCATGAAAATTGCACCTTGAAAGAGTTGTGTAAGCAGCCTAAGCATGTTTCAGTTTGTATACGTGTAAATACTGTTGTATGGTAGTCAGGTTGCAACAATGTGTAATTTACAAAGAACACAATATCTAAAGCATAAAAAAATATTATGTTTAAATGTGTAAAACGTTTCTATTATTATTGCGGTTCTCAGCCTGTGGGTAGCGACTCCTTTGGGGGTATCATGACCCTTACACCGGGGTCACCAGAGACCATTGGAAAACTTATTTATCAAGTAGCAACGAAAAAATTGTTATTGTTTGAGGTCAACAAAACATGAGGTTGCGGCATTAGGAAGTTTGAGAGCCGATGTTCTAATAGATTTTAAACAAGTCTGTGGACGAATTCAGTACCTTTATAATGTTGACAAAAACATCTACGACTCTTAATTTGAACATATTTGTGCTCCAATTTGATTTATCATAAGTTTACTTTACTAAATAATATCTTTCAAAAATAAATATAAATTACTTTCTTGGAAATACAAATACATTTTTATTATTCTTGGAAAATAAAGCAAAACAATTGTCTTTGAAAAAAAGTACATTTCTTGTTTTGGAAATACAAAAAAAAAAATTTAGTATCTTGAACGCCATTTAAATGAGAGGCAAAGATGTTTGAATTAAAACAAATTATTGTCTTTGGGAGGAGGCTGTGCCCCCATCAAATGTCAAAGTGTAAGGCGTGTCATATTGCATTACTCAATCCTTAGTCAGTACGTTGCAATCCTTTGTCTAATACAAACATCGCCTTTACTTACAAAGAAACATGAAGTTCCCGCAGATAGTAGGTGGTGGGGAATGTCCAAATAGTGAATCCTACGTAAACGACATGCCTGAGGGACGGCACAACAATGAAGACTTCTGACTGGTAAACGTGGACTGCCAGTGCTTGACCATCGTGTTAAGACATGGTGTATGCAGCTTTTAAATCTGTATGGGAATGAAAGTGACAGAAAAAAAAACTGTGATCACCAAGGTGATGAAGACAAACAGAAATAGACAAAAACATCCGAGCCTTGGCGTCGTCTCGTCTATTAAGACCCAAGTTACTTGGCAAGTTTTGAAACATTCGCTACATTCAAATCTCATGCAAATTAACGTTAGCGGGATATCAAACAAAATGAGTAGAGATTTTACACCGTGTACTCGTGAAACAACTACATATAGTATTACTAAAAGAAAATGTGTACCACATTACAAACCGATATATCCTACGGCATACTTATTACACGTTCAAGTGCCAAGACAGAAGAGGCATCATCACCTTCATAATACATGACATTTAAGACCTGGTTGTGGCAATCCCCACAGATATGGATATTAAAAAAAACAACTATAGTTTAGTACCATGGTAAGAAAAATACAGTTTCTGACACATTCCGAACACACCCCAAAGAATTACTGCAACTCTGCCCCACCCCCCCCCCCACCCCCCGCATAGAGAACACACACTACTCCCAGACCGCGAGTGAAAGCCACTTTAATTGCCGCTCCCCTCATTGGAGATTACAAAAATGCAACCTTGGAATTTGAACATATGAGCATGGGAAATCTGCAAACGTATTCACTACATCGAGCAAACATTGGACACCCACTCATCTCCACAGAGCTAATACTACACTTAGTTGACCTGACCTAAACATCCTCTTATCATTCCTACTGGTGTACACATGTACATCTGTGAAGTGCTGGACGGCATAGATAGCGATCGGAAACCTGTTCTCACAACGCCATGAACAACAAAGCACAATTTTTTTTTTTCAATGTCACCGGTATCCCAAAATGATATATCAGTATTCAATATAAATATGTAGATGGTTCCAATAATGTAACTCACTAATATTTTGACTTGAGTTCTTATTCACTATGTGGATGGACAAGCAAAAAAACTCGAATATTTTAAAACAAAAACCCTGAATAAAAAATTTTCTTTTTTACCAAAAATTAATTTAAAAAGTTAATAATATTAAATATCCTGTCTAAATAAAAAAAAAATAAACTGTTCTCATCAAAAAGTGACTGGGAAGTAATTTTCCTAAATCTTAACATTCTCTAAATAGTTATTTTAAAAAAAAAATCATTAATTCTCTCTTCCCCCTCTCTATTGTTCTGACACAAGAGCAGCACTTAGATGATACTATTGATACTGTTCTAGTGCAACCTGTAATCGTGGTTTATTTATTTATAACACAACTGAGCGACCTCGTGAGATGTACTTACTTATGCCTGGAACTTTTCCAGCTGTGTCAGCTGCTTATTAAAATAGCAATCGTGTTCTTCTGTATCCTGTTTGACGAGTAGCACTCACTATCGATGTAGCCATCTGTTTGACTACATCCGGATAAAAATGGGTCAAAAGCAGTTCCTATTTTGTAAAGCCACGATGGAGATATAAAATATATTTTTATTGAGCATTAGAAACTTTAACTTAAGTAACTAAATATTAAAATTAACCTTCAATCCATTAACAGAAGTATAGTATATGAGACAAACGACATATTCCATGGCATTTTGCTTCCATTATTGTTTTATTATTTATTTTTTTTAATATGCATTACAAATAATTTAAAGTACTTATCCTTTACATAAACAGACAAAAAATATTGATAAATATTGGGAGAAGTAAAACTTTGTAAGTACCTGGTAGTTAAACGAAAATTAAATTCCCGCCAAATGCCGATCTCTGTGATTTGTTATAAACGAGTGATCAGCCAGCAGAGCGTTTTAGAAAGTTCAAAGAGTAAAACGAAACCCTACGACATTTGCCCTATACGATGACGGAACAAAGAAACATATGAAATTCGTTCAATGACTTTTACAGTCTGTAAAACGTATGGAAATGTTATCAATGAACAGTAACACAACTTCCAAATTGCACTGTAGCATTTTAAATGTTACAGTTCCATGTAAACTGATTTATATTGGTATTACAATGTAGCATTTCTGCATCATTTGAGAAAATAGCAGGATGCTACATCTTTCAAATCGTACAAAAAGTTTACATTTTTTTCTATTACTTTGCAGCCATTTACATCGAACTTAGGAGTCGTAAAAATGTACGTCTTACTTTTAGAATTTAAAATTTTATATCTTAATTTTTTTACCGTCACTTTTTACATCTCAATATTACATCCCAACAATCGTACATCAAAAAACGTTTACATATTCTTGTTTGGACTTCTGTTTAACTTCATATGCACATATATTGCACGTGTTAGTGTATATATTCAAATGAAAAAAAACGTAATCAGTTTAAAGACAAGTTCCTCTCAAATCATATTTTAGTGTCATTTTTGTGGGTGTAATTTAAAACATTAGAAAATGGTTTTAGTTTGACATATTAATTTTTTAATGAACTTCTCATAGTTCTTAACTCATGTCAAAATGTTTATTTATTTATGAATGTTGCCAAGAAAAGCAACAAACAAATGTAGACACTAATAATTGAGACTGATTAATGAGACTAATAAATGAGACTGCTAAATGAGACTAATAAATGAGACTAATAAATGAGACTAATACACGCATTTATGGATCTATCCGTGTTAAAATGCATTGCCTGCCAATGAAGCGTTAATCTGTATAAATAAGACTTTGAAACACATCCAATTATTAAAACACATACTTTTTCATCATTTTCTGACATTTATTATATTAAACAAGTTTTGCTTAAATTTTTTCATTTTATTTATTTGCTTGAACCCTCCACCAGTGCTCATCAAAATGTCAGTGGAACCGACCGGCAGGATTTGCTGCAATATAAACTATGCACATCGGTGCTTTAATTAAAAAAGAAATTTGTAGGATTTTTTTCAGAGTTTTCTCTTATGGATACATGTGACTACAGTCTTCCGAACCAGCACATATTCTGGACTGGCAAACTTTTAAATCTAGTTACTTATTTTTCATGACAAAAAAGTATAATATTTGTATATGCATTACATCGCATCTTTAAAAAAGACATTCTTTATTATAAGGAAAATGTTTGGTAAACAATAAAATAGAATATGTCATTAATTTCTGTTAATATTTTCATAACAGTTTTGTGTTCTATATTTTGATTCATCTATTTATTTTAGAAATCTTTATCTATTTAAAATTCTGATATTTTATTTTAAATCGCATGTACTATTTTATAATCGAATATTGTGTTTTGACATCGAACTTATTATTTTAAAATCAGACATATCATTTTAAATTCGAAATGTTTAAAAATAAAGTAATCTATTTGTGTTAAAATATGTTCATGACCAACTCACCTTTGACGAAAAAAGATGCATTGAATCCTGGGCCACCCAAAGAACTGTTGTTTGTTTTAAAAACAATGTGCATCAAACTAGTTGTTGATGTTAGATTCGCTGAAAAATTGGACTGGCAATATTGTGAAATCAATTTGACTTTCGTGTTTCCACCGTCGTACACACCAAGTACAGCATCTTCACAGTCTGGAAATCCTTGCATTTGAATAAAAAATCTAAAAATAAATTTAATCGAAATTGTTTATCGCTATTTCCAAAACAGTATAAACAATGACATGACTAAACGATGAAACCAATGAAGACAACACATTTTTTAAAGTGAAAGTTAAGTAATTACTTAATTTTGAACCCGTTGTAGACCTAATGTTTCAGTTAATATTTTCCATTTTTTCAATCCCCATCATTTTACTTTAAAAGGTGATATATTTATATATATATATATATAAATTTAAATATATATACATTAATGTATGTATGTATGTATGTATGTATGTATGTATGTATGTATGTATGTATGTATGTATGTATGTATGTATGTATGTATGTATGTATGTATGTATGTATGTATGTATGTATGTATGTATGTATGTATGTATGTATGTATGTATGTATGTATGTATGTATGTATGTATGTATGTATGTATGTATGTATGTATGTATGTATGTATGTATGTATGTATGTATGTATGTATGTATGTATGTATGTATGTATGTATGTATGTATGTATGTATGTATGTATGTATGTATGTATGTATGTATGTATGTATGTATGTATGTATGTATGTATGTATGTATGTATGTATGTATGTATGTATGTATGTATGTATGTATGTATGTATGTATGTATGTATGTATGTATGTATGTATGTATGTATGTATGTATGTATGTATGTATGTATGTATGTATGTATGTATGTATGTATGTATGTATGTATGTATGTATGTATGTATGTATGTATGTATGTATGTATGTATGTATGTATGTATGTATGTATGTATGTATGTATGTATGTATGTATGTATGTATGTATGTATGTATGTATGTATGTATGTATGTATGTATGTATGTATGTATGTATGTATGTATGTATGTATGTATGTATGTATGTATGTATGTATGTATGTATGTATGTATGTATGTATGTATGTATGTATGTATGTATGTATGTATGTATGTATGTATGTATGTATGTATGTATGTATGTATGTATGTATGTATGTATGTATGTATGTATGTATGTATGTATGTATGTATGTATGTATGTATGTATGTATGTATGTATGTATGTATGTATGTATGTATGTATGTATGTATGTATGTATGTATGTATGTATGTATGTATGTATGTATGTATGTATGTATGTATGTATGTATGTATGTATGTATGTATGTATGTATGTATGTATGTATGTATGTATGTATGTATGTATGTATGTATGTATGTATGTATGTATGTATGTATGTATGTATGTATGTATGTATGTATGTATGTATGTATGTATGTATGTATGTATGTATGTATGTATGTATGTATGTATGTATGTATGTATGTATGTATGTATGTATGTATGTATGTATGTATGTATGTATGTATGTATGTATGTATGTATGTATGTATGTATGTATGTATGTATGTATGTATGTATGTATGTAT